GAACTAGCTCAAAGTTAATAATACTAAACTAGTAACTAAAAGTTCAATAAAATAAAATTATATCCAAAAATAGCAACAGTATCTAAAAGCTAATAATAAAAAAATCTGTTGCTAAAGACTAAATGTAAAAAAATACAATTAGCTAAACAGTGGCTAAAAGCTAATATTACCTAAACTAGCAAAAAAAGCTAATCATAGTTAGCTAAAAGCTATATGAAGTGAAACTAAAATTAAAATTAGCACAACTAGCTAAAAGCTAAACAGAAGAAACCTAAAGGTTAAATCTAAAAGACTAATTTAAATCAGCTAAACTCTGGCTAATCTTTAAAAATAGCTGGTTTAAAGTAATATTAGCAAAACCAAGTCGAAGCTAAAAATGGCAAAATTGAAGCTAAAAGCTACTATATTTCTAAACCTTCATCTTAAAGCTAAAATAAAGCAAACTTCATAATTAAAATCAACAAAACTGAAGGCAAAAGCTTATAATTGTCAAACTATACCTAAAGTTAAATGTAGCAAACCTTTGATTACAATTAACAAAACAGTAGCTAAAAGCTAACAAATCCTAATTGTAGCTAAATTTTAAATGTTGCCAAACTGCAATTAAAATTAGCAAACCTGCGACTTAAAGCTAAAATGACCTAAATTGAAGCTAAAAGCAAATATTTGCAAATCTGTAACCAAATGTAAGAAAACCGTAATTTAAACTAGCAAAACTAGCTAAAATTAGCAAATTAGTGGCTAAAATTAGCAACACAAAATCTAAAAGGAGCTTAAGAAGACAAAAACAGAGAAAGGAGCTGAAGAAGATCAGAGAKTGTTTAGGAAGATTTCAGGGTTTTGTGCTTCATGGTAAAGTATTTTGTAAATAAAGTTAAATAATTTAAAAAGTCTATAAAAAAAAACCTGTTAACTCTGAAGGAGCTGAATATTTTGTTAATTGTGTTTTTCTCTCCTCACCAGCACCAGTCAACCAAGGGATCATGGCCAGGATGAAAACATAAAACCAGGTGAAACTCAACCTGTTTTCAGGGGATTTTAGGAAAAACAAAACAACCAAAATGGCCAAACTGWAAAGAAACATTGCAGAAGCAATGGTGGCTGCACTGGACTCAACAAACATGAACTTTATTCCCCGACGTCTTGAAATAGTTTTATTTTATATTTTTGGTTTGTTTGTTTTTCACAACAAAGATGTTTTGCTGCATGAATTGTTTAAACCCACTGGTGCTAAATGTTTGTTTTACAGATTGACTTAAATAAATGCAGCATTTTGAGTCAAAGTTTCTTGATGTAATACAAGTAGTTTTATTTTCAGAATGGGCAGTTTACGACTAAATATATATGAATATATCGGACAGAAATGATCAATAACTCCTTAAATGCAATATCATGTTTTCAATGGGTCATTCTAAAATAAAAAATTCCACATTTAAATTGTTTCAAAACCATTTCAAACCATGAACAGTTCCAGTATTTCAATGTGTTTTTTTACACAATGTTCTACATCAAGCAACAAATGTTCAGAAAATAAAAAATGGAATGTAACGTCAAGCTGATTTTTGATTTTTACTGAAGTGTACATGTCAATCTGTGTACGAGGGAAATAAAAACAAAGTAGACTTTCTAATAAATGTGAGCAACTGACTTCTTTCTTTCTTGTTTTAAATCGAACTGATGGTGAAGTAAATTTAAAAAAGAAACAACCAGCTTATTAAAACTGGGTCCCTGGTATGTTTTCTAGACCCCTTTTCCCCCCAGTCCCTATCATCCTTTACCCCTGTGTTTCCTGAATCACTTTGTTACCAGACTCTTATGTTCACCCAGTCCCTGCTCCCTGGACTCCTGTTTCCTGGTCCCTACATTACCTGGTCCTTATGATTCCTAGACCCTGTGTTTCCTGGTCCTTTTTGGTCCCTGTGTTCCTGGTCCCTGTTTCCTGGTCCTTATGACTCCTAGACCCTGTGTTTCCTGGTCCCTATTGGTCCCTATGGTCCTGGCCTCTATTGGTCCCTATGGTCCTGGTCCCTGTGTTACTTGGTCCATATGGTCCTGGTCCCTGTGTTACTTGGTCCATATGGTNCTGGTCCCTGTGTTACTTGGTCCATATGGTCCTGGTCCCTGTGTTACTTGGTCCATATGGTTCTGGTCCCTGTGTTACTTGGTCCAAATGGTCCTGGTCACTGTGTTACTTGATCCATATGGTCCTGGTCACTGTTACTTGGTCCATATGGTCCTGGTCACTGTGTTACTTGGTCTATATGGTCCTGGWCCCTGTGCTACTTGGTCTATATGGTCCCGGTCCCTGTGTTACTTGGTCCATATGGTCCTGGCCCCTGTGTTACTTGGTCCATATGGTCCTGGTCCCTGTGCTACTTGGTCCATATAGTCCTGGTCACTGTGTTACTTGGTCCATATGGTCCTTGTCACTGTGTTACTAGGTCCATTTGGTCCTGGTCCCTGTGTTACTTGGTCCATATGGTCCTGGTCCCTTTTTCCTGGTCTTTGTTTCCTGGTCCTTATGATTCCTGGACTCCTGTGTTTTATGGTCCCTATGTTACTTGGTCCTTATGTTTCCTTGTCCCTCTGATTCCCAGTCCCTAAATGTTTCCTGGTTCCTATGTTGGTCCTTATTACCCAGTCCCTATGGTCCTGGTCTCTATTACCTGGTCCCTATATTTTACTGTACCTCAGACCATTTTGTATATTTTTTTAGTACGATATGGAGCTGTAACTGAATAAGCCTTTTCTTATTTTTATTTTATTTTTCATGGAGTTCTTAGTTTATCATTTGGGTAAATTTAATCCATGAGAGAATTTCCAATTTTATTTCCAGACAAGATGGGTTTTTTCAGACATTTTTTTAATCAAACAGAAAAAAAATCCCAGTTTTTTGCAGAATAAATGAACTTCTCTGTCAGAATGTTTCTCCACCACTGAAGCTCCAAATTACATAAAAATAAGTTACAATCAGATTAATTAAAGTCAGCAAACACAAGGGTGAACCAAAGCTTGTCGTGTAACAAACCAGATTTTCAGATGATTAGAGACTAAATTGAATCTTTGCTGTCGAAGCTTCGGTTGAGTTTGGAGCGTTTAAATGTTCCCACATCTGAAACTTTTCACCAGAAGTTTATTTCTCACACCCACAGCTGGAAACAACTGCTCACAATTAGTGGTTCAATCTGACAGATTAACACGGACGTTGTCTTTTTGTCCCTGGGTGGGATCTTGTTCTTGTGGACAGACAAGTCAAAGACCCACAACGATGCTTTACAGTCATCCGACAGCAACTCACCAGATGTAGGATTCAGATTTAAGAAGAGATTCTGGATTTCAAGACTATGGGAACTATGGAGGACCGAAGGATGAAGAGCGTAAAAATGTTTTCTGATCTAATTCCCTGCCGAGCGGCCATTTGTCCAGTTTCCTGTCCCTGTTCTCTGTTAATCTTTGTTTTCTCTCAGGACTCATGTTGACCGACTGGTGAATCCATTAAAACCACATGTTTAGTCACAAAGTGAGCTCATCTGACAGATGTTAGCAGTCACATCATCATCATCTTCTTCTTCTTCATCATCTTCATCATCATCATCTGCGGGGCGGAAAGATGGCGTCACCTTAACGTTTGTGTTGCCTGGAAACACGAGAAAAACAAGCAGCCGAAGAAGAAAATTAACATTTTAGTCAGTTTGTTTAAAAAAGTTAGTCCTGAAGAAATGTTCCTGCAAGAAGTGTTCACAGGCTGCACAGGAAGTGACTACAGGCTGCACAGGAAGTGACTACAGGCTGCACAGGAAGTGACTGCAGGCTGCACAGGAAGTGACCGCAGGCTGCACAGGAAGTGACTACAGGCTGCACAGGAAGTGACCGCAGGCTGCACAGGAAGTGACCGCAGGCTGCACAGGAAGTGACTACAGGCTGCACAGGAAGTGACCGCAGGCTGCACAGGAAGTGACTACAGACTGCACAGGAAGTGACTACAGGCTGCACAGGAAGTGACCGCAGGCTGCACAGGAAGTGACTACAGACTGCACAGGAAGTGACTACAGGCTGCACAGGAAGTGACCGCAGGCTGCTGCTCCCTCTGCTATAGGTTCATCCATCCATCCATCCATCCATCCATCCATCCAACCATCCATCCATCCAACCAATCAATCATCATTCTATCTATCTATCTATCTATCTATCTATCTATCTATCTAT